GTGTGTGTGTGTGTGTGTGTGTGTGTGTGTGTGTGTGTGTGTGTGTGTGTGTGTGTGTGTGTGTGTGTATAGAGTGTTGTAAGTAAGGGGTTCCGCACAATAAAAGAAACAGAGAATAGAGAGTAAGAATTTCAACCTATCAGAAATCATGTATTGTGGAATACACAGTTTCTGATAAATTGAATTCTTATTCTCTGTTCTCTATTCTTTGTTCTTTTTATGCGGAGGGTAAGAAATTGATCAATCATAGTCGAATATGAAAGAATAGTTGACTGTGATTGGTCAATTTTTTATTCTTATTTCTTTTATTCTTATTTCTACTCCGTGTATTGTAGCAGACGACGCATAAAAAGCTCCGCACAATCAAGGAATAGAAACAAAGAATAAAAATTTCAACCAATTAGAAATCACTATAGAATGTATAATTTCTGAGATTGAAATTCTTATTCCCTATTCCTATTCTCTGTTCCGATTTTTTGATTGTGCGGAGCCCCTAACTTTTCTCATTTCAATTTTCACATATAGCACAGAAAGTTCAAAAGAATTCAAAAAGAATTCAGTGAAATGTTATCAATTCTGAGTTTATTTTCAGATTCAACAAGAATTCTTTTTAGAACTTTTCAGAAAAAGAATTCTTTTTGCATCTACAAATGAATTCAAAATTGATGACATATTATTGAATTCTTTTTGAACTTTTTGTGCTATCTGGAATTGTAACTTACAGAATATACTTCTGCAATTTTAAATGCTAACATTCTGTATATATTTAACGTATATATTTAATTAATTGTACATACATATATACAGGGCGTAATAGGTGATTTTTTTGACAAAGCGTTTATGTGTATATAGAGTGAACTAAACTGAGTCGAAAAGTCCTTTATTATTTTGCAATTTTCGCAATATTGTCAAGATATTATAATTACTATAAAAATCGCTGAATATTGGTTTTTAATAATTTTTTGCTCAAATATTATCAACTTTACGAAAAAAAAAAATAGCGAGATAAAAATTGTTTATTTTCTTCTCATAAAGTTCTGAGAATTTCTTCAAAATTTTTAATATCGTATTTTCTCATGTTGGTAAAAATGCCAGTTCTGAAAAAATTCTTAGCATTCTATGAGAAGAAAATTAATAATTTTGTCTGTTGCAGTTTTTCTGTAAAGTTGATAGTATTTGAGAAAAAAATTATTGAAGACCAATATTCGGCAATTTTCGTAATTAATATATAATCTTGTTAATTATTGCGAAAAGTACAAATGATAGAGTTTTAGGATTTTTCGATTCAGTTTAGCTACCTGCCACGAACGAAGGTGAATTATGAGACACTATATATAT